TGACTTCTCTGCTGCCGTCTCTATTGCCTTCCACAACCCAAGAGGCCCTCTCATGTACCTATAGAACGTTTCTCTTCCAAGACAAGGGAGACCAAGAGAGCGACTAACTTCCCATAATTGTTGGTAACCAATGCCTGCCATCGCAAACGAAGCTATATATTTGGGAAGGGGAAGGGAGGATTGAGGGCCCTTTTTACTCCCCTTACCTGTTGTGTGGCCTCGCTTTGTGGACCAAAAATGTTCGACTTTGCCGCACTTCTCACACGCCCATTCAAGGCGAAAGCATGCCCAGACTTGCTTCCAGGACTTGAGGACCATTTTCCCCTGACATCCAGAACCTTTGCTGCAGCATACGCTCAATGTGCTGAAAAAACGGATGAGCTGCCGAGGGTCCAGCAAGCATACCAATCCATTGGCCATTGGACGCGTGGTTGAGGGAAGTGGGTTGTTCGGTGGTACCTCTGGTGCTTTGTCCATATGCTCTCCTCTCCTGTTGATAGATGCCAAGTATGGAAAGAATACCAAGGTGCAAATCATGAATCACAATCATACAAACGGATGCAACACATATATGGACACGTCATCTATTTGGAGTAGTGGTGTGGAAGATATGGAACCCCCCCTACCTTGCATGCGTTTCTTCACTAGCCGGCCCTGGCGTACAACCGCATGCTGCTGCCCCATCGGTTGAGGTGTTTTCCAAGGGCCCACCATTAGCCTGACATTCGCCAACCACCACCTCCCCACCAGGCTGTTGAAGTCCCCCACTCCCATCTCCAATCCCCTCCAAAACACCACCTACATCTGTCAATGCTCTTGGGGTTGCGTGGCTGTTCATGACAGGCTCTTCGGTGTTCCCCTGGAGCTGCGCTTCACAATTGGCCTCGACATGTGCACCTGCCAATGCAAGGCATGTATCAATCCCGATCAACTGCTGTGATGATGTTATTGCTGGGTTTACCAGCTGCTGGTCGAGCACCTCATTTTCGCCCTCTATTGCAAGGTCTTACCTGAAGCTTTCAAAGCCTCGTAGTTCACACCCTTTCTGGATCCTCCGTGATAAAAGCCCTTATCCGGTACTACCCGCCCCTTTTCATCTTTCTTGTATGTCAGTATCTGATACTCAAAGTCAGGTGCACAACGGGGGCTCCTATTCAGTATCTCCTTCACGGACTCCCCATCTCCCTTGCTCTTCTTTGAAATTTACTCCACTGTGCATCAAGGTGGAGTTGTGCTGTGATGCGGGCACTGCCTCCCCCGGTTCCTGACGTTTGAGTACCACAATAAAAGGGGAGAGAGGCTTGGTGGGGTTGAGGGCATGGTGGTTTCACGCAGCATCACAACACCTGCTGCAGCACTCACGCTCTGGTTTTCATGCTCCACTTGTAGCAGCAACATGAGCTTGGGTTTATACCTCCTAGGGCAAGCGGAGAGGTAACCACTGGTTTTTAAGCTCCGCTTGCAAGCAGCAACATGAGCACTGGTTTCATGCCCCGCTTGCAAGCAGCAATATGAGCTCTGGTTTCATGCTCCCCTTGCAAGCAGCAATATGAGCACTGGTTTCATGCTCCGGTTGCAAGCAGCAATATGAGCACTGGTTTCATGCTCCGGTTGCAAGCAGCAATATGAGCACTGGTTTCATGCTCCGCTTGCAAGCAGCAATATGAGCACTGGTTTCATGCTCCGGTTGCAAGCAGCAATATGGGCTCTAGCTCATTTTTCTTGCAAGCATCCTTCTTGGTTTGGTCTATACACTTCCTAAGCCCCCTTACACGAAGCGGGCGCCCAACGACCCACCCACCAGCTTGTTCCGCAGCAGCAAACAGTTTTGACACAGCTTCTCCAGCCTCTGATGCGAGCACATAGAGCACGTCATTAGCGCTTGCGACATAATCTCCTCCTCTCAGAGCCGTTAACCCACAGCGCATCATCGCCATAGGAATCAGCATGTGTGTTTCGATGGTCACGTTACGTTGCTTTATTGTATCCAAGATGGGCTTGAAGCACGGTGGTGTGGAGTCGCATGCTTGATTTGTGGCATTGGATGCACGAGTCTCCACATCCACCTGGAGTGTCATAATGCGTTTTGGGATGTGGATTTGGAATGGAATGTGGGGAGACAAGTGGAGTATATGAGAGGTGCAGCGAAGGGAGACAAGTGGGGTATCTGAGATGAGCAGGGAGGGGAGACAAGTGGAGCAGATGAGAGGAGCTGACTGAGGGGAGACAAGTAAGGCATATGAGAGGAGCAGGGAAGGGAGACAAGTGGGGTATATGAGAGGAGCACAGAGGGGAGACAAGTGGGGTATATGAGAGGAGCAGGGAGGGGCGACAAGTGGGGCAGATGAGAGGAGCAGAGAGGGGAGTCAAATGGAATATATGAGAGGAGGCAGGTGGGGAGACAAGTGGGGTATATGAGAGGAGCAGGGAGGGGAGACAAGTGGAGCAGATGAGAGGAGCAGGGAGGGGAGAAAGTGGGGTATGTGAGAGGAGCAGGGAGGGGAGACAAGTGGGGCAGATGAGAGGAGCAGGGAGGGGAGAAAGTGGGGTATGTGAGAGGAGCAGGGAGGGGAGACAAGTGGGGCAGATGAGAGGAGCAAGGATGGGAGACAAGTGGGGTATATGAGAGGAGCAGGGAGGGGAGACAAGTGGGGTATCTGAGAGGAGCAGGGAGGGGAGACAAGTGGGGTATATGAGAGGAGCAGGGAGGGGAGACAAGTGGGGTATATGAGAGGAGCAGGGAGGGGAGACAAGTGGAGCAGATGAGAGGAGCAGGGAGGGGAGACAAGTGGGGTATATGAGAGGAGCAGGGAGGGGATACAAGTGGAGCAGATGAGAGGAGCAGGGAGGGGAGACAAGTGGAGCAGATGAGAGGAGCAGGGAGGGGAGACAAGTAAGGCATATGAGAGGAGCAGGGAGGGGAGACAAGTGGGGTATATGAGAGGAGCAGGGAGGGGAGACAAGTGGGGTATATGAGAGGAGCAGGGAGGGGCGACATGTGGGGCAGATGAGAGGAGCAGGGATGGGAGACAAATGGGGTACGTGAGAGGAGCAGGGAGGGGAGACAAGTGGGGCAGATGAGAGGAGCAGGGATGGGAGACAAGTGGGGTATATGAGAGGAGCAGGGAGGGGAGACAAGTGGGGTATATGAGAGGAGCAGGGAGGGGAGACAAGTGGGGTATATGAGAGGAGCAGGGAGGGGAGACAAGTGGAGCAGATGAGAGGAGCAGAAAGGGGAGACAAGTGGGGCAGATGAGAGGAGCAGGGATGGGAGACAAGTGGGGTATATGAGAGGAGCAGGGAGGGGAGACAAGTGGGGTATATGAGAGGAGCAGGGAGGGGAGACAAGTGGGGTATATGAGAGGAGTAGGGAGGGGACACAAGTGGAGCAGATGAGAGGACCAAGGAGGGGAGACAAGTGGGGCAGATGAGAGGAGCAAGGAGGGGAGACAAATGGGGTATATGAGAGGAGGCGGGTGGGGAATCAAGTGGGGTATATGAGAGGAGCAGGGAGGGGAGACAAGTGGAGCAGATGAGAGGACCCACACGGGGAGACAAGTGGGGTATGTGAGAGGAGCAGGGAGGGGAGAAAGTGGGGTATGTGAGAGGAGCAGGGAGGGGAGACAAGTGGGGCAGATGAGAGGAGCAGGGAGGGGAGAAAGTGGGGTATGTGAGAGGAGCAGGGAGGGGAGACAAGTGGGGCAGATGAGAGGAGCAAGGATGGGAGACAAGTGGGGTATATGAGAGGAGCAGGGAGGGGAGACAAGTGGGGTATCTGAGAGGAGCAGGGAGGGGAGACAAGTGGGGTATATGAGAGGAGCAGGGAGGGGAGACAAGTGGGGTATATGAGAGGAGCAGGGAGGGGAGACAAGTAAGGCATATGAGAGGAGCAGGGAGGGGAGACAAGTGGGGTATATGAGAGGAGCAGGGAGGGGATACAAGTGGAGCAGATGAGAGGAGCAGGGAGGGGAGACAAGTGGAGCAGATGAGAGGAGCAGGGAGGGGAGACAAGTGGAGCAGATGAGAGGAGCAGGGAGGGGAGACAAGTAAGGCATATGAGAGGAGCAGGGAGGGGAGACAAGTGGGGTATATGAGAGGAGCAGGGAGGGGAGACAAGTGGGGTATATGAGAGGAGCAGGGAGGGGCGACATGTGGGGCAGATGAGAGGAGCAGGGATGGGAGACAAATGGGGTATGTGAGAGGAGCAGGGAGGGGAGACAAGTGGGGCAGATGAGAGGAGCAGGGATGGGAGACAAGTGGGGTATATGAGAGGAGCAGGGAGGGGAGACAAGTGGGGTATATGAGAGGAGCAGGGAGGGGAGACAAGTGGAGCAGATGAGAGGAGCAGGGAGGGGAGACAAGTAAGGCATATGAGAGGAGCAGGGAGGGGAGACAAGTGGGGTATATGAGAGGAGCAGGGAGGGGATACAAGTGGAGCAGATGAGAGGAGCAGGGAGGGGAGACAAGTGGAGCAGATGAGAGGAGCAGGGAGGGGAGACAAGTGGAGCAGATGAGAGGAGCAGGGAGGGGAGACAAGTAAGGCATATGAGAGGAGCAGGGAGGGGAGACAAGTGGGGTATATGAGAGGAGCAGGGAGGGGAGACAAGTGGGGTATATGAGAGGAGCAGGGAGGGGCGACATGTGGGGCAGATGAGAGGAGCAGGGATGGGAGACAAATGGGGTATGTGAGAGGAGCAGGGAGGGGAGACAAGTGGGGCAGATGAGAGGAGCAGGGATGGGAGACAAGTGGGGTATATGAGAGGAGCAGGGAGGGGAGACAAGTGGGGTATATGAGAGGAGCAGGGAGGGGAGACAAGTGGACCAGATGAGAGGAGCAGGGAGGGGAGACAAGTGGAGCAGATGAGAGGAGCAGGGAGGGGAGACAAGTAAGGCATATGAGAGGAGCAGAGAGGGGAGACAAGTGGGGTATATGAGAGGAGCAGGGAGGGGCGACAAGTGGGGTAGATGTGAGGAGCAGGGAGGGGAGACAAGTGGGGTAT